ACCTTTCTCCGCAGGTTTTATTTATATCTGTACACTATTACAACCACTAGAAACCACTGCTGCACTTTTATTCCTTAGGGCTTTTGTTTCATTGCATAAATATCCAAAAATAGGTCCAAAAGCCACTTTAGTGGCAGCTTTTTCCTATGTGAATTTTAATGCCTTGTATATAGGTAATTATATTCATAGGTACTTTCACCATTTCAAGGCAAATATATGTTTGCTTTGCCTATTCTGGAGGCTGTTCAATTTTGCATTGTTTGTTGTTATGTAAAAAACATTATAAAATTATTCCATCCCTATTCTACAGGGATGATGAAAGATCAAATAAAATTGTAGAATTTAGTAAGCAATGAAATGACCACACTTTGCAGATTAGCATGGTTGTTTCCCAGGGATTTTTTTCTTTTTTTGGAAGATGTTCTTGATTAAGTTAAGACTTACTTATAGTAGATTGCATTTAAGAATTAAGATCTGAATAATCTAACAGCCTACACAAACCACATTGTTTAGAATGTACTGTACCATTAATGTCTGAATTTCCCCCTTCTTCCCCTGTATCTTCTTCTCTTGAATTTGTAGTGTTTTGATATTCTGCATCTTAATTTTCTTTTCTGTGGCTTGTAAAAAAAAAAAAGTCTTTGGAATTTCAGTGCTCTCTTTCCTTGTGTTTACACTTCTCTTCCTAAAACTGACTCTTTTTGACAACTGAAATAGAAATTTAATCCAAACAGAGGTTTGGTCTGTTAAGGCAAGATCTGAGATTCAGAGAATCACTGAGACTGGAAAGGATGCCCTTGCTCAAAGCAGAGTCAACTTTTGAAAACTTGTACATTTTACAGATTATTTCAAGATGCATCTTGAAAATTATAGCTTTAAAAAAAGGTTAAGGTTGCAAGTCAAACTTCATGAACAAGAAAATGCTACAGTTACATTGCTTGTGCACTGTATCATGGCATTCCATCATGTTTTACTTGCTTTCCTCCCACCCCCATTTGGAGAACCTAATGTGAAAATGAAGTTTTTCACTAGCCAGGTACCAATGTTGATGCATAGAGTTTAATTTTTCATGGCAATTGCCAGTATGTGTTGCATTTTATATTGCCAAAGTCCAGTGTTTAGCACTTCTGATGACATGGGGTGGACAAGTCATGGGAATTGGAGTAAGAGTGGTGCTTAGTGGCAATAAGGAAAACTTAATTTGTAATGTATCCAGTATCGCTAGATAAGTTGTTGCAGGAGAGGTGAGACAGGAAATAAAAGAGGAGACAGGAATCCCATGATTTACAATGGAATGTAGGCTCGTGAACTTCAAGGCTATTTTTGTTTCTTCTAGCAGTACCACGTCATGTTGGTGCTGCTAGAGTACAAGACCATGTCTTGTATGCTCTGGTGCAAAGTGTTGGTGCGCTTGGTCTGCCTGTGTGTCAGCCTGGCTCCAGCCCTCTTTGGACCCACTGTTTCACTCCTTTAGGTTTTACATATGTGGATTAGAACCGATTCTCAGTTTGACATGGTGATACAGGTGTAATCTAGGTGCTGCTAAATGAAATTAAGAGGCAAAATCTAAACCAAAGACAATACTTTTCCACTTTGTACGTAGCTAAATTGTGGACCTTGTTGCTACTGGATATTGTGAAATACAAGTGAGTAAATGGGTTCTGAAATAAATCAATCAGGCGAATTCACAAAGACCAGATCCAGGAAGAGCTATTGTATATAATGGTATGGATACCAGTCAGGCCTAGGAATTACAAACTGTTGATTACTGAGAACTGGGAGGTATATGAAGGGAAGGAAGGTTCATTCTGTACATATCCTGGTTATTGTACTCTACACTGCACTGATGTGGCCTGACCTGGAGTATTGTCTGCAGTTTTGGGCAACTCAATATAAGAAGGGCATCAAACTATTAGAGTGTGTCCAGTGGAGGGCAACCAAGATGGTGAAAGGCCTCAAGGGCAAAACTTACAAGGAGCGAGCAGCTGAGGTCACTTGGTTTGTTCAGCTTGGAGAAGAGAAGGTTGGGGGGTGACGGCACCTCTGTCTACAACTTCCTCAAGGGGGCAGCAGAAGGAGAGGTGTTGATCTTCTCTCTCTGATGACCAGTGATGGGACACAAGGAAATGGAATGAAGCTGCATCAGGGGAAGTTCAGGTTAACATTAGGAAAAAGTTCTTCACTGAGAGGCTGGTCAGTCACTGGAGCAGGCTCCCCAGGTCACTCTGTCAGAGTTCAAGGAGCATCTGGACAATGCTCTTAGTCCTATGGTTTAGTTTTAGGCAGTCCTGTGAGGAGCAGGGAGTTGTTCTCGATGATCCTTATGGGTCCCATCCAACTTGAGTTATTCTATGATTGCATCTTTTTTTTTCTGTGCATCTGCTACTGGCTAAGACAGTAGATGGACCTTTGGTCTAAAATGCCATGATTTTCCTTACATTTTGAGAAACAGTCCACTTTCTGTCATTCTTGAAGGTATGAAGCAGGTAGGATTTAACAGTATGAAAGGGTTGGTTCTTAAAATTAGCAGTTTTGGTTTTGTCTGACAGTTGGCTAGCTGTTAACCAGAACTTTCTAACCTTTTGTTTTGTCTGCTGGCTAATATATTCTACTACTTTGCTATGCACACGCTTGCTCATAAAAATCAATAAAAAAGATTGGAAAGTTCATTGCTGCTCTGATTCTTTGTGTGTTTGTTATGAATAACAATGTTTGTTCAGGTGAACCTTAGAATAATTGCAAATTTGAAATGCAGCCTCACCTAAACTAGAGAAGGTACTTTAGAGAATTGTAGGGCAGCATCTTATAAAAACTGAGAAAATTTAAAAACTTAATTCACTCATAGTCTGAAATTCAGTTTGTTCCTCAACGAACTCTCAGTTTTCTTTTCAAGAGATTCATCAAAGCACTCTATATGCGTCTCTCATCAAAATTGCTGATGCAAGGAGTTAAACCTTAGATGTTGCCATGTTTACAGGCTTATGAAATTCCATAGATCTCATAAGCTAAAATCTTCTTTTCTTGCTGAAAGTTTAGATAGGCTCAACGGGATACTGGCAAGGTACCTTGAAGAGGAATCTACTGAGGAATATTAAATACACAAAATCACATCTGTCTCAGGAAGTAACATGAATTGAAGGTAATCGGAGTGTGGATGGTAGCAGGAGGGAGTATTGTGTATGCTTGTCCTGTTTCTTTGCTATGTATCTGTTCATGGCTGCCACTGCTGGAAGCAAGATGCTGAGCTGGATCAGTCTTCGGTCTGATCTGGTATGAATGAAAAAAGGAGGATGTCTTGCTCCAAGTGTTCTTGCTTTCTCTCAGAGATCAGTAATTTCATATGACTAGAAAGAAAGAATGGGCAGAAAGATTTGAACTGCTGATACTGAAATATCCACCCCTACTTAGGCCTTTCATTAGTTCCCAGAGATCTACCTATCAGGACAAACTTGTTTATAAGGCTCCGTGTGATTCATTGGAAGATGCATCTTTGTGGCTGGCACTATTAACTCTTTGGTTGTAGCCTATCATGATTTTGCATTTAATCACTTTAAAAGGATTAGTTCTTAAAATGTTCATTTTTGCTTCTTTCTCTTGGGTGCCAAACTCCTAGGGATTATTTAATCTTCAGCCTTCATTCCAGTAATAAACTGTGTGTGAACAATCCATATGTGTATTTACTTAGTGATATATCAAGGTCCATATGGACCTGTGAGTCTGCTTGTGTGGAACTCACTGCAGGATGAATTTTAAATTGTGAACACCTTACCTGCTTATTAGCGCTTCTGCCCAGCACTAAGCATAGCACTTACAAAGAAAATGTGTGTGAAAATTTTATGACAAATGGTTTCTACTCACATGTTTTTGTAGTATTTAGAACCTGCTTTTGGAAGAAACCCACTGTTGTCCTTTTTGGAAAAGTGTGCGTCACTGACATTATGTTGGATTTTATAAAAATAAGTCTTTAAAAATAGGAATGGTGATTTTTAAGATCAAAGGGTAAGCAACTTTATCAAACAAGATTAGTGGTTCTATAGAAATGCTTGGGAGGGATTTATTCCCTGTGTGTATAATCCTTTAATGATAATCTGCATTACAAATTCATCAAAAAAAGTATGAACTGTTCCTTTGTTTTCAGTATTTCAAAGGCAGCTATTTCTGCGGAATCCTCATGAGCCACCAGAATCTGTGTTAATTTATAGTCTCTAAATTTTCTTTTGAAAACTGATAAATAGTATGTCAAATTATTAGATTATAAAGTTTAACAAAGATTAGGATTTTCAGTCACTTTAATGAATTCACAAACTGTCTTTTCCTGGAATGTATGTGTATGACGAAGTGAATAGGTTGAATAATTGGCCAGTTCTGGCAAATTAGGTGATCTAGACTTTTCCAGAATGTCACGATTTATATTTTAACCAACAAGGAATTTTTAGAATCTGTGCATCTTTAAGAACAGGGTAATTGATAGGCTTGATGGTCCCTCAAGTTTAATCTTTGATGAAAAAAATCAACCCTAGTTGCTGTCTGTGGTTGGGGCATCCATGCTTTAAATGCAAAGTTTAGGAGATGTATTTTTTAAAGAGGAGTGTGTGTTCAATTCCCTGTTTTCCAGAAAGCTTTCCTTGGTAATATTTTAATTATTATTATTATACAATAATACGAAGTTCTTCCTACACAAACACTCAGTGGTCATTTTGCCATTAGGAGCATGAGAGGTTTCAAGAAAATACCAGCAGTTGGATTAGAACTGTCTATTAAAAGCAGATATGAGGCAAATATTATTCCCCCGTTTACAAAAAAAAATTGTTTCTTCTCCCATTATACACAAGACATAGTTACATGTATGATGTGTTCCTATATTACTCAACTTACCTTACACTCTGAAACTGCTTTTCAAGTACAGCTACTTCCAATGTTTATTTGACTGTGTTCTTTTAAAGTGTGGTTCCAAAACTGGTTAAGTATTCTATTTGGTTTTTGTGTTTGTTTTTTTCCAGACTGATCTTGATTATGTTAACAGTGTTGTTGCAAGCCTGGAAAAAGAGTAAGTTGTAGCTTTAATGGCGGATTTCTTAGCTTAGTAGTGGGTTTGCTTTTTGGGGTTTTTTTTCCTAAATCAGGTTGAGATAAGTAATAAAAAGTATTGTGGAAATAGGAGATCATGCATTTTGTTTCTTGGGGGCTTGGACGTCCAAACAACAAAGTAATAGATGACAAATTAATGGGCAGTGATTCAGTCAGTAAAATTGTAAAACAATAGATGGGATTAAATTATTTGGTGTAACATCAACAGATGGGATTGGTTTAACATGAATGGAAATTTAGGGCCCTGTATTCCATACGTTCAAAGAGAACTAGAGAAAAAAAATCACTAGGGTCTGAAAAAAGGAAAGGCAAAAGAAGTGTTTAGAATCTAGTTAGAATTCTGATTATGGGGCAAGAGGCTATACTGCTCTGAAGAATATGCTAAGGAAAACTATTTTTTTTATATGCTACTTTTATTTTACATGCCTAGTTTGAATAAGTCATTGTTGTAACCAGACATAATAACTGTACCAAAAGCAAGGAAGAAGTCTACAGAAGCCAGAATCTTTCATGTGACTTTAGGATATTTCTATTGACAGGTTTTCTACAGAGATCAATTCTGGCTTGGTGGAAGTAATAGCCCCTCCTGCAACTTACTATCCTGACCTGACAAACTTGAAAGAGACATTTGGAGACTCAAAAGAGAGAGTGAGGTTAGTTCATCCCCCTGATCTTCTCCCATCTCCTCCCACGCTTTTCTTGTTTATGAAATAGCAAGTGGGATGTGAATTCTTGAAATGTTTTCTTACAGTACTGCTTGAAAGTGTGGGGAATGCTAAAAGTGCTCTGTGAATCCATCTCATTCCTATCTGCATGCTATTCTGTGCACAATCAGAGCCTAATGCTATGCTCGGTTGAATTCATTTCATGTTAAGTTTTGGGAAGAGGACTGAGACTTGACATACTTTTATTGATGTATATAGACTTTTTTGTTTACTGTTTTTCTTCCTGAAATATAGTATTAACCCCAGTAATTCCTGTTGAATTACCATTTAAAATGCACATGTATTTTTAGTAAGATGTCAGGTAGTTTTCACAAAATCAGATTCAAGTTAAATCAGTTTTATGCTTGTATTAAAGCATAAGGTGAAAGATTTGTTCCTTTTTTTCAGACAGAGGATTTCCTGAGGGAAGAATGCCAAAAGCAGCTATCCTAACATTTCACTAATATGTGTCAGTCTTCATAGTGAGATTTACTTTGCATTGTCAGTGTGTATTGAAATAACTTTTTTCCGTAATCCTTAAGCTTTTAATTTAATTTCAGATGGAGAACAAAACAAAACTTGGATTATTGTTTTCTTATGATGTATGCCCAGAAAAAGGGGGTTTACTACATTCAGGTAAATTTCTCTTCTTTGTTTTGAGACATGTTTTCAAATGAGTCTCCAGAAATTATGCTCTTGGACACATCAGGAGGAGCTACACAGAACTTGATTTCGTAGTTGAAGGCAGGCATTAAGTATGGAGATTATGGTATATGAGGAAGTAATTTGTGGAGGACACTGTCTCTGAAGTAGAAAGTAATTTGTCGTGTGTGACTTATGTTATCTTAAGATGCTTAGTAAAAAAAAGTGAAGGAATTCAAACAGCTTAACTACTGTTTTTTCCTTGTCCGCCAAATGAGTTACCGTTGAGTCGCCTAAGCAAAAAACACCACCATAGTTTTAAGTGGAAATAGAGCTAAAATCCATTTTTACTTTCTTTTGAAGGCATGTGCAGCATCACTTTAATATGACTGTTGTGTATAGATATGTTTTCAATGTGTTGCTAGACTTTTCTTTTTTCTTCTTTTAAAGAGGTTTTCAAGAAGAGTTAAGCAATTCTTCTTAAATTTCATTTAGCTCAGAATTGTTCCTATTATGTCTTCCTGCTTTGAAGTAGAAGCCTTACCTACAGGTATTGCAGATTTAGTGAGTAACTGTGCTTATGATCTTTATTTAGATTTTGGGACTATGTCCTTTGGGTATAAAGCCTCACATATAAAGCTATGCTGACTGCTCTCAGAGAGCTGTTGGAGACTCGGCTCTCCTGGAAGCTGCACTGCCCATAATAAGACAGTCTTTCTGGAACTAGGTGGTCACACAGATATTAGTGCCAGCACAAGGAGAAGAGCATGGATGCATACCAGGTGAAATGAATCCCGCCTCTGTAGACAGTGTATCTCTTAGCTTCCTGTCTCAAAGGAGAAGTTCTTTCAGTGCTGTTAGGTGAATGAGTAAAGAGAGTCACATTTGTGTACAAATAAGATATATTGTGCTTGTTCTACTGATGATGTCACTTAGTCTAACATTATTTCATGGATTATTTTTCTCTGAAGAGAGAAGCTAGAAAAGCAAAGTTCTGAAGTAATAAGTTGAGATACGTTTGTGGATTCTTATTACAGAAAAAATCTGGATTAGTTCTCCACAAACAGAGTGTGATCCCTACAATAGTTATTCTTGGCTATAGCATCTAGGTATTATAGCAGCACTTGCATTAGAAAGATATGGCTGTGTGTTAGCAATATATTATAAATCAGTATTTCCTGGCTGTACTTTTTCCTATTGCTTTGCTGGTGCTTTTTAAATTTATGTTGGTATCACTGCTACCTTCCTCTAGCTTGAAGATGACATCGTTGTCAAGCAGAATTATTTCAGCACAATAAAAAATTTTGCACTTCAGCTCGCTTCCGAAGATTGGATGATTCTAGAATTTTCTCAGCTGGGTTTCATTGGTAAGTAAATGTTCATTTCAGTAGTTTCAGAGAACACATTCATCCTCAGACACTGTGAATTAATTGTGATCTGACTTCAAAGCTATATTTTTGTACTGGAAATAGACCAAGAAGTAGAAATTCATTGGCTTTTTTAGGAACTCAGGTTGAACCCATGGTTTGTTGGTTTTTTTTTTCCAGTTGTTTCATATACTTTTGCATGACTGAGGTAAACTCAAACTGTTGGAAAAGAGGGCATTTTTATAACCAAAAGTTAATTAATTTATAAAAATACTAACAGTTGAACTGCAAGGAATGACTTTGAATTCAGCTGCTGTTAAGACAAAAATGTCATTAGAACATAACTGACTGAAGTAAACGAAAAAGCGTGGAAACTAACTCCACCTAAAACAACTACATTGGTGTTTGTGCCAAAATTTCCAAGAATCAGCAGGCACCAGTTTGTCTTGTTTGCAAAGCCTTGTTCTTTCTCTGCCTTTCTACTCCATCGAGGAGAAATTATGACAGTCAGCTTCTTCTTAGGTGTAGTGAGAGTCTGTTTGCCATTTGCCATGAGCAACAGTGAGAGAAGCTAATGCAGCATCTCAGGCTGCTGTGGATTGACTACCAGGGTGCTGTTGAAATTACTTTATGGTTCTTTGCTCTTACACTAGTATGTTTTTATTGAGAGGAAAGACTTAACAGAAAAGCAATGAAAGAGAAGTTTTGAAGGGATTTTACAAATCAAAAGGTTCTTTCATTACTGCAATGATGTGTCATGATCTGTTTAAAAGCACTAAGCTGGACATAATGTGAGGAAAAATCAAAAGCTAAGTCAGACTGTGGAGATTCCTGTATGTAGTCAATGGGACTGGTTTTGTGGCCTCACAGGTAGAAGGGAGAAACAGGAAATAGAGCTGCCTATCATGGAGAAGTAAGCATTTAAATAATTTACTGGAGCTTTTGCCTTTAAATAGACTTGTGTCTTCTGCTGAGGAGCCCCTTGCAACTCTGATTCCATGGCTGCAAAAAGACTGGTTGAATACCAGTGTCTGAGTAGGCTTTGTTTCTACTTTTGAACAGTTAAATCGTGGGCTTAGTTGGGGTTAGAGTTCTAGCTCCAGTCCTAATTGCACTTTAAATGTAAATTCTGTATGAAGTTCCTGGGCTATGGATGTAATTTACATTCATTCTACATTTGCTTAATTTAGTAGTAGAGCGTACTTGCTTACAAATTACAGTTTTGTAAGACTGACATGTCAAAATGGGCGTAAAACCAACTTACAGTTTAGGACATGCACTATCTACCCCATGCAGAGGTATTTCAGATCACTTACTATTTGTGGGTTTGTGTATTTCACACCCCTTTCTGTTCTCAGTGCTGCTATAGCAGGCACAGTGTCTAAGCCAGAAGGGGTAGGTAGGTAGTTCTTAATACTGAGATTTGGCTTAATCACCCGCACAACTGTTTAAAAATATTTTAAAACTGTTTTTCTATACTGTCTGTATACTTTTTTCAGTGTAGGCTCTGAAAATAATTGTAGGTAAATTCAGTTGTTAGCTCCGGCTGCTTGCATCCCTGTTCTTTGTTCCTTGTATCGTATTTGCTTGCCTCCTTTTAATTAGATGATATCAGTAGAATTACAGATGCATTTAGCTATGGCTACACATCTTAATGTTGCTTTTCTACCTAGAAAATTAAATCAGATTTTTTTTTCTCCCAATTTAGCTACTTATCCTGCTTTTAAGTTCTGAGAGAAAAATTAGTATTCAAGAAAGTGACTAAAACTTCTGGCTTTGAGACACATTGGTGTGCTATAACCATATATTGCATAGTAATTTTATGCAAGTAATGCAGATTTGCCTCATCTCTGCTATCCCTTTATGGATCTTGATGCAGACTGATACTATGGTAATTTGGCAATGCGGATAGCTATGGAGAAGATCAAAAGTAGTTGTTTGTAACTGGGGATGAGTTTTATGTGTAGATGTCTGAGAGAGAAAGTAGAGCACTGAATTGCCTAGATGCTACTGATTTAGAAATAATCTCTAAAAAAGAGAGGTGCGACTGATTTACTGTAAGCTACTGGAAACCTTGATTAGCTTGCAAATTCCTAGGTAAAACCATTTTTTGTCATAGTATATTTCTGAACTGAAAATCTAACTTATGCAAGTACTACATGAGGAAGTGGCAAATGCATCTATTTAGGCTGACAGTAGGATTATAGAATTCTGTCACCTCTGCCACAGAGCAGAAGTTGCTTCCTTTGTTTTTTTTTAATACTGAAAGCACAGTCTTAAGTGCTGTCAAGTATCTAATAAATAATGCGTGAGATGTATGCTGTTTCCCCAAGAAGCTCTGTGGAAGGAGATGCATCTTTTGCTCTTCTGGATTCTGGTTTGCACTGCGGTTCCTGACATGACATAGGAAAATCGTACTAGCTTTTTCTGAGAACTACTGATTTGTCTTCCAAGGGCCTGCGACCTGAAGTGTTTTCCAGAGGATCTGCAATACTCTGTGCTGTAGAGTCAGCTGTCACAAACTTCTAATGGAGCGGTCTGAAATGAGCCTTTTGGTGGTCTTAAACAGTTCCTCTGAATCTTACTGCGCCCTGATGTTTTAAGGCCTGTTGTTCTGATTATTTTAAGTTATTCTGATTACAGTTTTGCTCAAGCTGTCCACATAGCTGAAATTTGGGGAAGAGCAGATCAAGTAAAATATTTGAGATTTAAATAACTTCAAAGAGGTTCTGGTTTTAATGCCAGTAATTTGCATATTATTAACAGGGAAAGCATTGAAAGACTTCAACTATAGTTGGAATATGTGCTTGCAGGTATAAAATTATTGTTGGTGTAGACTGAATACATTTAATGCATGTGCAGAAGAATGAAAATGAATGATTTAGACATTTGCAGTTCAGAGAACTGTAGAAAACAAAGTTTTTCATTTTGTGTGTGTCTTGTACTTGCCAACAAAATACTGAGAGGGACAGAATAGTTCACTAAGGATAGCATTTAAATGGACTGAAAATCAGATAGAAGTTTTGGTAGGGCACAATAAATAGCAGAAAATGCTTCACAATATTTTTTTTTCCAGTCCTAGCTCTCACTTTTATCAATGTAGATAAATAATATGGAGGAAGTATTCCACATTTTGTAACTCTCTAGGGATTTATGAAGCAATATTTTATCTTTGAGTATTAATTCTTTTGTATTTTGAGGTTTCTTTCAAAGGGTAGGTTGTATGCACCCAGAATCTGAAACCTGTGAAATTTTGTCAGCAGAGTCTCCATGATTTATGTCTGTTCTCATGCACTGTACCAAGTGAATGAACATGGTGCAGGATGAGCCATTGCTTCAATTCTTTCACATTGTCTTTGGTTTGAGGCAGTGCATGCTGACTGCAGTTTTTGCTTAGGTCTCTTTGGCCTGGTGATTTTTGACTGCCTATTGGGGACAGCCAGCAGGCAATATGTAGGCTGGATTTGGATGGCATCTCAGTGGCTCCATGGCTCACAGCACTTTCCTCACCTGCATCTGCATGGGAGGCCACAGGACTGGCAAGGACTGGCAAATGGTGCTTCTTGTTCTTGGGCTATGGCTATGCCCTAGGGAAGCCAGGCTGCTGCTGCTACTATTGCTCAGGAAAGGCTAGACAAGGGCTTGGATGGTTTGGATTCAGAGGGGCTGGGGTGTCGGATCTGTGGAGGGGGAGTTGTACTGGGCTGCTTTCCATCGCAAGGAGCAGCTGTGCACAGTCGGGGTCCAGAGCTTCGAAGGCCTGTTTTACCAGGGGCTTCACTGCAGAGGCCTGGTTTTGGGCTGGTATAGGAAGAGTGTTCTGGGGGAGAAAAGGGGAACTGTGGCAGTACTGCTGTGCTGGTGGTGTCCCTGAGACAGAAATGATGGATGAGGGCTGCTGTGTTATACTGAAGGGCAAGGAGCTGGGGCAAAGCTGTGCCAAGGTGGACGTTGGAAGGTGGTGACAGCATTTCAGCAACTAGTGTTGCGGATCTCTGTCCTTGAGTACTGAAGGGAGTGTCTCAGGAGCAGGGTGTTGCCTGTTCATCTACGCTCCAGTGGTCATTACACATTAATGTGAGAATGCTTTGCCTCCACTGTTGAACCCTTCCACAGTGCTGGGCAGTGTAATGCAGAGAGACGAGTTGGGTCTGAAGATGCTAGTGCAGGTACAGCCAGGTGATGCTTAGCTAGCATATTCTGACTAGTTGCAATTGGATGTATCAGGGCTTTTTTGTTTGTTTGGTTTTGTTTTGTTCTGGTTTTTTCCTGGTGCATCCTGTGACATCACAGTCTTCATCCCTGGAGGTATTTAAAAGATGGGTGGAGGAGGTGCTTAGTGATCTGGTTTAGTAGTGGACAGGTATGGTTGGACTCCATGATCTTAAAGGTCTTTTCCAACCAAATGATTCTATGATCACCATGTTAACTAGTTTATTCCCCAAGTCAGAGGTGGTTGATTGCATGGTTAACAGTACTATGCCCATCTAGGCCTAGAGGAAAGTGTCTCTGGGCCTAGGCAAGTTTGCCATATGAAAGTAAATAATTTTTTTGTTTATATCCTGTTTCTATTTTAGGTAAAATTAGGATAACTTAAATTAGGGAAAAGAGTAAATTCCTACTCTTACCTGCAGTCTTGTTCTTTGCTTATTTAATTGTAGCCAAGGATCCTGTACCTTGACGTTCAGGTTTTAATTGACATGGTCTATGAGTGTCTTTTCACCATAGATGACAACTGAAGACTGTAATCCTTGTGCACCTCAGAAGATGAGCTAGTTAATGTAAAAAATGTACAGTTGTACTGTCCTTGGGTGGAAGAAGAAAGAGATTCCAAAGCAGCATGACTGTATATATGTCTCTTCAGTCAGTCTGAGATTGGAGCAATAATGTGGGGATGTTTTGGTCTTCTGAGTCGCATGGTATTGTGCATCTCTCTGACACCACATGGAAAAATCCACTTCCTATGGAAACAGGTGTGACTGACAGACTACCTCAGCAGGTGTCACCTAGAAATGATGGTTTCAGTCCCAAAACCATCCCACAAACATCTGATTAGTCCCATTTTTCAGCTGGTGTTTGATTAGGGTTTCTCATATTTTTCTCTTCTCCTGCCCTATGCTATTGAAAGCAGTAGGCAGAGATGAATCACCAGGAAAATTGGGAGCCAATTTAGTTGGAAGTGTGACAAGCTGAAAGAGCTGTTATGCTGCATGAATATTTTACACAACATTGTACAAATCATATGATTGTTTCCTACCCATTTTCAAATATTTACTTCCACAAATAATGTTAAGCAATATGACAATATAGTGTGTAAATAGTAACAATATACTAATAAAAAACCATAACGTCTTTCTTATGTCTTTAAAGGCAAAAGCTTTGCAGTTGTCCCTAGTTTAGTAGGAGTTGTCCCTTGTTTAGTGGGAGCTTCAAATTCTAGTTACAGAGTATTTTCAAGTGGAGATGCTTATTTAAGGCCCTCATTGCAACAAGCTCTTACAAGTGATGCCAATATTTTTGCTTTATAAACAAGCAAATTAAAGGTTTTTGTAAGGGACAACTTTGATTTACTGATGTCAGGTCAGTTAATGTCTGACCACATTTATTTCTCCACCCCACTGTGTGAATGGTCAGCTTTATGAATATAGCATCATTCCAACAGATAAAATAATTGGGACTTTCGTCAGATATTTCTTCCGTATTTATTGCACTACATCATGATGTAGCCTTGCTCAGACCCCTCCAAACTCATCTCAGAATTCCACAATAAGTATTATTTAATTGGATGTGTTCTTATCCAATTTCATACAAGTCATAAGGGAATGAGATCATATGAGACCTGTTATCTGGAAAGGATGAAGCCCTTTAGGTGATCTCCTAAATATATATCCTCTTTTTGAGAAAATAAAGGATCTTGCAATCTGGAAAGGATGAAGCCCTTTAGGTGATCTCCTCTTTTTGAGAAAATAAAGGATCTTGCAGTTCAACATCCTGGCATCCTCAAAGCAAATCTCCATATGTAAGAGTCTGATATCTGGCAGTGTCAAGAGCACACATAACAGGGCCCCTGCAACTTTGATGCTTTCCCTTAAAAATATCCTTGTTGCTAATACATGTAAGATAATAACCTGGCATTCTATATCTACACTGAGATATTGTATAATGTGCCAGACTCAGTCACCTGTTTCAGTAGAGAAATTTTCCATCCCTGTTACAACAGGGATTTGAACTCCCAGCTCCTTGGGTTGGTTTTTTTTTTAAATGCTGCCTTGTGATAATCTTCTATGAACTACAGACTTCAGTGAGCCTCGAAAGAAAGAGAAGTAACTGAATGTCTGGCTCTGAGTGATAGTCCACATGGACATTCACCGTGGAAATGTATGTTCATAATCACTTAAGACTAGATAACTTCTTACCTTTTGTGTAGTACTGGTTCAGGGTAATACTTCAGGTATATCCTCTCTTCTGTTTATATAAATGTGAACATCCTCCTTAATGGCTAAATAAGGTAGACTGCTTGGACCATTTCTTCACTTCCACTCAGCCACCTGCTCAAGCAGAGTGCTACACTGCTGATAGTTTTTAAGCTTCATACAAAACATCGTTTCCTATTTGTTTGTCATCCAGACTAGCCCATACAGCTTAGTAGTGGCCTTTCCAAATAATTTTGTCCTCTTGTAGATGAGAACCAGTTCCCATTTTCTGTTGAATGTGGGAAGGGGTTTTGCCACCTCGGAGAGGAACCTGTTCTCAGTGTCTACTCCAGCTGTTCTTCCTAAACGTAGAAGAAAATATTACGACCTCTACCACTTGTGGAACTTGTTATTTAAAAAGCTTATGAAAGCCTCATAGATTACAAGTGGGAAAAAAAAAAAAGAATCATTTCACATGCCTAAGAGCTGTGTGTTACTGTGTTGTACAGAACTCCCATAACAGAGCTGAGCTGAACTTAACCTCCCATAACAGAACTTCGATACAGAGCCCATACCTCTCTAAGTCAGCACTGTCCACATCTCAGCACCATCTCCAGAACTGAATCACTTCAGCCAGTGTCCTCCTAAGAGATTCATTGTCATGTAATGTCTTCCTCCCTTGCCTCCTCCATTGTAGTCTAGCAAAGTAGAGGCAGACTTAATCTGCAAACCTGATCGTGTTTTCTGAATCTGCCCTCAAATCTGGAACTGCCTTTGGGAGTTTAGTTGGCACTCAGTCCCTGGTACAAGCACTTGTCAGTCTGTCTTGAGCCTCAGACTGTCCCACTCCCAGTCACATGTTGCTCCTGGTCACAGTATCTTCATACAAGGCACCTTTCTTAAGTGCTGCATTTGGCTTAACAGAATAGCCCAGTATATTGGCCACCTTTCTCTTCAGACACCTGTCCTGGCAGTGAAATGTGTTCCACAACCATGTAAAAAGTTGCTTTTTTTGATAGTAAATAGACTTTCTTCATCAACAGTAAGTTTTCTTCTTTTGCAAAGGTGTCCTTTAAGCCTCACAGTTTGCAGGGTTTCCAAGAATCCTGTAGCACAGTGCCACCCAGAAGTCCTTCTGTACTTGACCAAGCAGTATGCTGTCTTGGAAGCCCCAAAGTCATGGCAGTAATTGTCAAAGAAGTTCTGTGGATTTTGTTTGTGGGAAGGACTGAGACTTTCTACTAGGCACCTGGCTGCTTTGGGTGTGGCTAGCTGGGAATCCCCGCAGTGTGAGTTTGCTGATGGCCTATGCATTTCAGAAGAAACTCCAGTCGCTGCTATGCAATCTCACTTTTTTTAAGTTGCGTTGACTCTGGTTATTTCTAGTAGCTTCCTTCTTTCCCTTTGATTTTCTACAGAGAAGGATCTGGAGTTACTGGTAGGTGTTCCATCTCTGCTTTTTGTACCCGCAAAAGCCGAGATTGAATGACTGGGCAGATAACTCTTGAGACAGCTCCTTGTCTCAGGCAGATGCTTGAAGCTTACACATGGTATGGAGAATAATAGACACGAATCCATAATTCTTCCTTCTCTATTTTCACAGACTGATAATTTCTGTTCTTAAGGAGACTGTGTTGTAGTATACATTGAATATTTTGGTAGCACCAGGATATATTACAATGAGTTCTTGTTTGAGTAGTTGTTTTATTTAGTTTTGCGTAGCTGAAAGGTATAGGGCTTTTAATAACATTGGAATTTCAAGTTGTTCATTGCTAATATTTCTTGTCTTGGCACAAACTCATCATCTATTGTCTCACTGATTTCAAAAGAAAATGTTATCCTTAATCTAAAATAACTCCAGTTATTCTTAATGTCATCACAGGTAAAATGTTCCAGTCTCCAGATATCACTCTTATTGTAGAGTTCATATTTATGTTTTATAAGGAGAAACCTATTGATTGGCTCCTGGATCATATCCTCTGGGTGAAAGTGTGTAATCCTGAGAAAGATGCTGTAAGTTTGTTTTCATTATAAAGCTTCTAAACTGTTTTCATGATGGTGAATGAGTTGATTTTTGGTGAGCTGGAGGCTAGCATACTGTGTGTTATGGTTACTGCATGTCCTGAAAGAGTCTTTCTTCCTACCAAGATTTTAATCTGCAAAAGAACTTTAGAGAGGCAGTTCTCAGAAACTATATAACTGTTACTATTTCAGATTTTGGCGATGGATGCAGTAGGATGAAAAGCAAAAGTCTAGTTAATTTCTGTGTGTAAGAAAATAAACTCATCCACATAACCCCCCCTGAGGCTCTGCAGAATGCCACTGCTTGGATAGCACTCATAGAGAAGGTTCCAAATGGGGAATAAACTTTGGATTTTGGTCCTTCGCTTCTCAAGTTGCACCCTTGCTGAAAGACTGAATAAACAGGTTCTGTGCAAGAACCTTGAACGTTATTATATTTGCACAGCAGTCTTGGTAGATTTCTGGAATGAAAACAAGAACAACTGGATAAATAGGTCTGGGTTCTTGTTGAGTCTTTTTGGTTCATGTAACATCACATACTTGCAGTAAAAACTCAGCAAACTTGTGTTAGTTTTACTAATGTGATTTTTTCTTTTTTTTTCTTTTTTTTTTTTTAACCCCCTTACTCTCTCCCCCCCATCCCCCCTTTCAGAAACATTGTGACCGACAGAAATCTAACCTACGGATACGCTTCAGGCCTTCTCTTTTCCAGCATGTTGGCCTCCACTCCTCTCTAGCAGGGAAGATCCAGAAACTCACAGTTAGTAGCTAAGATTTTCTTTCCTTTCCCGAGCAGGCTGATTAAATTAAAACTTTTGTAACCTTTGAGAAAACAGGCATTTTCTTGTCTGGCATTTTCAAGCATGTTGTATATTACTCCAGTTGGAATGAAATCTCATTGAAACTGGTTACTATCAAGTATAAGAAGTGCTAATCTCAGCTTATTTTATTTTTGTTAGGGGGTATTTTTTCTAATTTTTTTTACTTTGATGGCATGTTCATCTTATTAATCAGATCTGATACACCAAAAATTAGTAATGCATTCATTTTCATTTGATGCAAGTGTTTGTTTTAAGTGTAACTGCTTGGGAAAAGAATGTACTAAAACAGGTTATCTGACCAGCATGATGTTTGTCTGTCTTTCAATTAGGATAAAGACTTCCTGAAACCATTATTGCATAAAATCCACGTGAACCCACCTGCAGAGGTTTCGACATCTTTAAAAGTCTACCAAGGGCATACGTTGGAAAAAACCTACGTAGGGGAAGATTTTTTCTGGGCTGTCACGCCAGTTGCTGGGGATTATATTCTATTTAAATTTGACAAGCCAGTCAATGTAGAAAGGTTAGTAATTATTTGCCTTTGGTCTCATGTCTAGAGCTGCTTGTTCACCAGGAATGCTTGAAGACAGAATTTGGGGCTATCATTATAAACTGAAGTGAAATGACATAGGGTCTTTGGAGTTCAGCTGAAACTATGATCATTAGTGTCTTCCCTCTAATTCTTGTACTACTGTAAATTTTATATTGCTCTTCTTTATTGTTTTATTTAATCCAGAGCCTTTTTGATAAATGCAATTCAAAACCAGTGCTTCTCTGGCAGTTCATAAGAGAATTTAAAAGAAGCCAATTTGATTTTATTTGTATTTGGTTGGTCTGCTTCTAATTACAGAGCAATTGTACAGCATGGTGTGTGGTACAGTATGTTGTGCCCTGCAGCCTCGGTCCCTTGATTGTCCAGATCAGAAATCTTGCTGGAGCATATCATGATGTCCCCAGACCTGAAAGCTGGGAACTCTGAAGGGTAATGTTTTTTAGATGTAGCTTTAGGGCTTGAAAAAAGTCACCGTGTTAAGATTCCAAGTTGACATCTGTAAAAAAAAAAAATATTACAATTTAACAAAAAAAAAAAGGGGTGGGGTGCCCTTGAAATACAAATATTCATGATTTGTTAGAGGACTAAAGGTGACTTCTTTTTAGCTGCTAGTCAGATTAAATAAGGATAATAGAGTTTGCACTTTAGAGCGTAGTGATCCTTTAGTTTTATTGAGACTTATTTGCTGCTTTGCTTTTTACTGTCTCGCCAACGTAGTCCAAGACTTACTTACAAAATAAATTGTTTATTTAGTGTCTAAGTGTTGCTATGATAGTGGATTCCTTTTCTCCTTTCTTCACATAACTTTGAGGCCAGTAGCTATAGTCTGGTAGAGCAAAGTTTCTTTGGATCAATTTGACTGGACGCTTTTCTTGTGAAGCAGCCCTTCTTGCAGTCCTGAACTGAATCCAATTAGTCAGCTTCTGTGCCTTGGTACATAATCAAAGGCTAAGTCTTCACCTTGGTTTAGTGCAACAGTGAGGATCAGTAGTTTCCTTGTTACTATGTTTTTCCAAATTAGTCTGACCTATGAAACTCAAGTTTGCCCTTGGAGATGTCGAATTACTCTCTCAGTTGGTTGCTGTGCTTTAAAAGACTTCCCTGGTTAGCTTTCCAAGATGCATGTGTTGAGGAATATGACTGCTATGCCTCCTTGGATTAAAGGCAGAATCTTTTTTATCCTGTGCCAATAGTTTAAAAAATAGGTATTTTTCAACTCAGATGTATGAATTCATTGATTTCTTTTTGATCAAATTTTCCTTTTCAAAGTTGTGAAGTAAACGTTGTCCAATTTGTGTGTTTGGGTTTGGTTTTTTTTTTTTTAAAAAAAAGGATTATATGCGTCTATGTTATGAATAGGAAAACTGTAAGCAGCCAATGTTGATCTTGGGTGGATTAGGATGAGTCAAATGCACAATGGCAGTTTTGGAAAGCACCGCTTGCCAGTGTCATAGGTCAGCACTGTTATTTAAAAAATGGCATGCACAGGTCTGAAGAAAATAATTTTTGATATGTATTGCCTTAATAGTGAGGGAACTGGGGGAACAAGTAAGTACTAATTACCTGTTCAAAAGGTGGGAAGATAGTGTTCATTATTGTGCCCTGGAAAATTGTGGCTAGGCCTAAGGTAGTTACGCCTGCCTGCTGTGTTAAGAACAGTCCCAGCAGTAGAGGATGATATGATGATTTTTTTTTTGTTATTTCTATTTATTGAATAAATGTATTTTAGTTTTAGAAGAAAGGGAACATCTTATATTCTGTTGCTCCCTCAGCATCCTCAAAAATATAGTATTTTGCCTTTCTGAAGTCAGTGGCTGGTTAGGGCTACAGATGTTGTTATTTCAAATTGTTGGGGACTTGTTTTTATTTGTCTATTTAACTTCAGCAGCAGCAGATTTTGGTGGGTGAAGGTCAAGTGGAGCAGTGATGTTTCCTGGTATTTCAAGGATGCTTGCTGAGGCAGTCAGCTGCAACTTGCGGGTTGAAACACAGAAAAGGGAAAATGGACCAAGCATTAGGAAGACTTACCTGGTGGGGAATTAAGAGTAGAAAATATGCTTTTGAAAGCCATCTTGTGTTTGTGAAGAGATGCAACAGGCTTTTCCTTTTTTTTTTTCCAAATAATAAAAAAGCTCTTGTAATTTACAGAAAGTTTTGTCTACCAAGTCAGTTTGAGGTGTAGCTGCTTAATAACTTCCATAAAAAATTCTTCACAAACAAGTTTCCCAATGGAAATATTGACCACAACTCTGAATGAATGGCGGTCTGTTACACTGTGACAGAGCACTAACTTGTTCCTGTAGTTTATTTTTCCGTGCCAAAAGTTTTGCTGAACTGAATTTAAATTTTCTGCTGAGTATAGCAGTTCAATAATTAGCTTTCATTAAGTCTTCAAGTATTTTATTTTTGAGATCTGAGAATATTGTCAGGGATGACACTTGGCAAGGATCTCTTAATAGTTCAAAGTTAGAACTGAGCTCACTTTGCTGAGCAGAAAGTAACATTTGTGACTATTTTGTGCAAGACCTGCTTGGCAGATCCCTGCTGAATATTGAACAGTCAAATAGATGGTGCATGTTCTAAACCATACCTGGAGAACAGGGATGTGTAAATTGAAATTGTCTAATGCTCGTTTTAGGAATGGCTCTTGTACTGAACCTTTTTAGTGTTTTTTCCAAGCAGAAGATCTCCAGCCACAACACTGGAATCCCTTAATAGTAAGCTAGGATCTCATTCTTATTTTTGCGGTGAGAAGATACATGCTTCCCTTTCAGTAGCGTATCCTTGAGAATGAAAGTAGATCTACTGACTGTCCTCTTAAAAACAAGTTGCACAGCAGTGTTGAAGATGTGGTTTCGGTTTTGTTTGTTGTTTCTTTTTAAAATAAATGGATGGACTGTTTTCTAAATACTCAAAACAGCCTACATAGATAAGAAATACCCAATTTCTGTTCCCTTAAGTTGTTATATAATTATTGAAATCCACTTTGCTATTTTGGTATGTACACTGCTGTTTCAAGCACACAATTAATTATTAAAACTGACAGTTACATTTAAGAGTTTCTTTATGAAGCATACATTATTACTAGTATAATAAAGTATATACTTTAATACTAGTACTGAATGTAAATTCATTTTCCTCAGCATAAATAACAGATTCAAGATACTTCTTTTCTTTATTAGTTACTCTTTTTCTACACAGATGTCAGCAAGGAATATTGTACCTGAGCAGCTCATTGTGAAGAGCTTTTGACTTTAGACATTGCTTTGCCTGAGGATTTTTTGTATGTAAGAAGCTCTGAAATACTGGTGGATGAGTAGTGAGTCTTGAATAGATGTAATAAACTTTGAATGTGATCCTGGTTTAAAAAAAAAAAACCAAACAAAAAAAAAATCCCAGAAAGACATTCCATTGCAGCACTTAAGGGATGCTGGTGTCCATCATCTTCACAACCATCTCTTTTTTGGCTACCTAAGTTTCAGAGTCCTCCTTATAGATGTGATTGACGCAAATCAGATATTGTTTTCAAAGAACATGTACACTAATTACATCAAGGAAGCCCTTGGAAGCACATAACCTATGGCTGTTTTAATTAGATTATGTTTACACTTGCCAGCTTTTCTGCAATAGGAATTTAGAATGGATATTTACAAAAAGGGCTTCAGGTTTTTTTCAGTATAAATTGCTTTCAAATGCTGATCTTTATGAAAAAAAAAAAAAAGCAGCTGCAGAAAAAGACAAGGATGTATTTTATTCCGTGGAAAAATAAAAAAAAACAAAACCAACACACCAAAAACCAAAACCCACCGCAATCTCAGCAGTATATATATCTAAATTGGCTTTATGTCTTTAAAATATAAGGCTCGTCCTTTCTTGTTGTAGCTGCTTGGTAGTGTTACTTTGAATATTTTCAAAAGGATTAGCAGTTTGGTTTGGAGGGAGGTATTTGTTTTTTGTTTGGGGTGGGGTTTTTTCCTCCCCCCCCAGCACTGCTTTTAACTCTGCAGTTGCCCCATAGTTGTGTTCTTTTAGCAAGTTATTGGGTAGTCATCTGTTGTGGCTTAACCCCAGCCAGCAACTAAGCACCACACAGCTGCTCACCATGAAAGCGGGAGGAGAGAATTGGAAGAGAAAACCCATGGGTTGAGATAAGAACAGTTTAATAATGGAAATGGAAATAAAATGAAGTAAAATAGCAGTAGTAATAATAATACTATTAGTAATAATAATATACTAAACAAGTGATGCACAATGCAGTTTCTTGCCACGTGCCGACTGATGCCCAGCCTGTCCCTGAGGGGCAATTGCAGTCCTCCCCCCTTGCACCCCAATCCAACTCCCCCTGAACATGATGTCATATGGTGTGGAATTGCCCTTGGGCCAGTGGGGGTCAGCTGTCCTGGCTGTGCCCCCTCCCAGCTTCTTGTGCTTCTGGCAGAGCAGGGGAAGCTGAAAAGTCCTTGACCGGTGTAAGCCCTGCTCAGCAACAACTGAAACATCAGTGAGTTATCAACATTCTTCTAGTACTAAATCCAAAACCCAGCACTATGCCAACTACTGGGAAGAAAACTAACTCTATCCCAGCCGAAACCAGGACATCATCCTAATGTGACATTGATTATTAATAAAGTGATTTTATGAGGTAGAACTTCCTGACTGGAATTTCAGCTTTAAACTGAAATCTTAATACTTTGACAAACCAGCTTATAGATTACATTTACTACTTTGTGTTCTGATATTGGCATAGATACTGGATGCGCAGTGTTGGAGACTAATAATCTAATTTTCCGTATTGTTGACCCCAGGGAACATGTGATGTTAACCTCACATATATTTCCCATGGCAGCTTCTCACAACATAGAATTTCCACTCATGCAAGAAATATATATTTGACTATTTAAGCTAGAAAATCAATGTACTGAGTGTGAAGAGTATCTTGTTGGGCTCCTGGTAACTAAACATACACATTA